CTATGCCTTAATCCTCGTCCCTTCTCGGTTGCTTGGTTTCTTGCATGGTTGTCGGTGCTGCCTTGTTGGAGCACTTCTTTTAGTCGTTCTCTTTATTATGACCAGATAGTGATCACTTGCAATCTCTGGTCCTATCATAACTCTGGCTTCTCTCACCAACTTAAAGGAACTCTTCCTTACCATGGCAAAGTTGATGGTGGATTTCTCGATGTGGTATAAGGTGGAAAAGAAGAGGAAGAAGTTATGTGGTTGTGAGTAGTCACAGAAGCAATTTTTCAGCTGATGCCGCTACAATGTCAGTAACCCCTGGAAATGTCTCCAAAGCTCTCTTTAACTATTACATACAGGGCTACCAATTGGATTTTTTTTTAAACTCAGCTAAGCTGAACAAAAACCCAAGCAATACATAAGCAACAAAAAAAAATGAAAAGCTCAGATTGTTAAAAAGTACAAATTTTATAGTTACGAAATGAAACATTAACCCACTTTTATATAACGCTATTTTAAAAAACCAGATTTCAAAATTGTAACCCAAGGTGTTAAATAAAACCCAGATCTGGGGGTAAAAATCCATCATTGACAGTCCTGATTACATGTCACGTCGCTTCCTTTTTTTTCAGTAAAAATTTATAAAAAGTCCCAGGCTTGGTCTAACTTTGTGTTCTCACCACTAGTATCTGTTACTTAAGGGTCTATACTCAGGGATCGCAAATCTGCTCCTTTGGCGGTTTGCTAATTTACCCTGGATTGTTCCGGATTGCCCTGGGGTTAACCTTAGCCTAATATTCTATAATATCAATTTCATAGAGTTTATTTTAAGTTAAGTGTTTGTAGGACATTCCAAGATATTATTTTTTAGTCAAACTATTATAGATATATGTTCTCATATTATTCTTATTAAAATATTTACTAATTATAGTTGTTGTTTGTTCTTATCTATAAGACTAAAACCCTAAAATGTTCCATAATTTTCAACAACAAAACCAAGAAACCCAGACAGCAACTTAAAAACCCAGATCTTGGGGGAAAGGGGGAAGGGGAACCAGCTTTGGCATCCCTGTTGCTAAGCATCTAATCACTAATCCAAGGGCGGGCAACATTTTTGGGTGGAGGAGGTGAGGGGAGGAGGGACCTGCGAGTTAAATTTAAAATTATCGACCTGATGGTGGGCAATATAGAAAATAAATAAATTATAAATTTAACACCCCCAGTTTCCTCGTAAAATGATATTTTTGCGGGCAGGATAATCTAAGATAAAAATCCCTCCCTACGCACATTGACCCATTGAAACCTTTCTATATATTCCTAAATGTTTCTGTTTAAGCTGGTTATTTGCAGAAATCATATTGTTGGGGGGGGGGGGGGCAGAGAGAGAGAGATTGTATAGTAGTTTTTACACTAGCCTAGCAGGCCCCACGGACTATAGTTTGCGCACCTCTGGTCTTATCCAACATTGGCGACACATAGGCCAACAAACATGACGGTGCGCTTGATATTTTTACCAGTGCCCGTTTTCCTTTAAAGATCACTTCTGTTGATTGGGTTTTTACCTACTCTGGCTGACGAAATCTAAGCAATATTGTGTTCCACGTCATCAAAGCTCGTTGAATGTTGAATTAAGAATCAATATATCATAGCACTCGGGACACCCCAATAAGCGCTCCGTCCCCATCTTCATCAGCAAACGAAGAGTTAAAATTGCGATGGTACCAATAACTGTCTGATTGTATATCCGTCTCGCCTTTCCCCTGAGTGATGAGCGTCGGCCAGATCACCATGTGACTCCTCGCAGTGCCATTCTCCTCAGACCGTAATGATCTGTCTGTTCCTCGGCACTGTTCACTCGCTCCCAAAGGGCCCTCACAACATCCAGCTCGCCATACATCAGTTCACCACCAAGTGGTGCAAAACGGGCCAGTCTATTTGCCTGCTCATCTCCCAACACACCGGCATGACCTGGAGAAAATATCCAAAGGATGCTAACTATCCGGGACCTTTGAGGTGAGGCTTGCCACTCTGCACGGAGCATGCCTGTCTCCACCTTTCTCAAAACGCTCATTATGGTCTACTTAATTCAAACCACTGCCAGCTCCAGCTTTTTATAATGCTCGAGCCGCCCGTGATTCAGACTATCGAGAGAAAATGAGAACCGACCTAAATATTGGCTACGATGTGATATGTAAGATTTAGCCATAAATAACATGGCACAGGTCATAACTAAATTCACCACCCCGCACACAGAACACATCACGCTTTCAAGATGTAACAAGCAATACAACTAAGAAAACCATACTACCAGATGCAACACCAATGTATCTTCGTCTTGTTCATTGGCGGTAAACTCCAGTAGAACGTTTTGGTTGTTCATCCGCCTCTGGATTTAAGGCTTGTCTCGAAACCTAAGTGTTGCGTGCACATTCGTTTTACACATCTGGCGTATTTATATGCAGACTGTTGGTTCAGTGCCTCTTAGACAGATGCATTTCGACTTCGAAGGAAGCCCTCGATTAGTCGACTCCTACGACATGCTTGTTGGGGAGGCGGTGGATCTATTCTCGTCTTCTCCAAAATGGGAGCCCTGGAGCCCACTCAGGGGGGTGCTAGCATATGTAATCAACACATTTGCTCCGTCTCTTTTCTCAGTCGGCAAAGAAGAGTCGATATACTAACAGCAATTGTTGCAACCTGATTAAAAGACCACTTAATGTTTTACCCGCATCTTTGGGTATCTTCCAGATTCTACACCCCCCTCCCCCCCCCCCTCTCACTGAATTAGTATGTCAAAGAGAATGGATACTCGGTCTGTTCTATTGCATTGTTCACTTGATCTCAGACAGCCTTCAATACTTCCGCATTATCATAACGTATTATGATTTTTTTTGGAATATTTCTACAGGAAATGATAGACATTGTGGTGTTAGAAAGTGGAAGAATGGGCCTCAGTTTGAATAATGGGAAGACAGAAGTAATGGTGGTATCAAAGAAACGAATTATTCCTAAGTGTGTAATAAAAGTTGATGGTGTTATTTTAGGACAAGTACAGAAATTTAAGTATCTGGGCACATGGATAACATCAGATGGAGAATGCATAACTGAGATAAGAAATAGAATAGGACAGGCAAAAACTGCATTTTATAAAATGAAAAACATCTTGTGCAATATATCCTTGTCATTGAGAGTTAGAAAAAGAATTCTTGCTTGCTACATACATCCAGTTTTAACATATGGCTGTAAATCCTGGACAATCGGTAGGCAGGCCAAACAATTTCTGGAGGCCTCGGAGATGTGGTTTTACAGAAGAATGCTTAGAATACCTTTGACAGCCAAAAAGAGCAACCAAGAGGTTTTGAAAGAGGTGGGAGCCCGAAGACAACTTATCACAGACATCAGAAAGAGACAGTCATCATTTTTCGGCCATGTTATGAGAAGAGGGAAAATAGAACATGTTGTGACCACTGGAAAGATATGTGGAAGAAGATATAGAGGAAGACAACGAGAGAATGTGCTTGACAGTCTTGTTGCATGGCATGGAGGTGTGTCGGCACACGAACTGATACATGCTGCAGGAGATTGCAGATTATGGAGAGGCATGATCGCCCACGCTAGTCGGCAAGGCACCTGATGATGATGATGATTATGAATTAATCAAGTAACAGAAAGTGTATTGATCGGCACTCGTAGAAAGAAGTAGATAGATGGCAGAACACAATAGACAACATAAAAATCGAAAGCTATAGTTACCGTGCCGGGAATTGAACTGGTCACCTCCAGACGGCGTCTGCGCCTCGCCATGAATACAAGTGCACTAAGAACATGGTCAACTAAGCACCCCCAAAAAAGGTGTCTTATTGGCCATGTCTATCGTACAACTTGAAATCCACAACTATTGAATGCGGACAGAATTCATTTCAAACCATTTAAATTTTACCATAAGCTACAGAAATTTAAATTAACGAAGCAAATGTCGAATAACAATCACAGCAACAATTTACAAACACAGTAGATTTTAATGCTTTGTCTAGAATACACAAACATTTAAGAAAAGGTATTTAATTGGTAGGTTCAAGTGTGTATACGTCACCATCTAGAGGAGCGGCAGCAGTCAGTCAAGGAAAGAGTTTGAATTTCTGAGAGACACAACATCATAATCATGGTTGTGGTCTTCCTTCAAAGTCGGAGTGCATCTCCTGAGAGGCAAAGAACCCCAGCCTGCATACATATTAGTCAGCTCTGTTAAACAGATGCGCACGCAACACTCAGGTTCTGAAACAGGAGTGTAGTCCAGAAGTGGACGAACAATAAAAAATTTCCACCAGAGTTTACAGCCGGTGAACACGAAGAAGAAGAAGATATATATCGTAATATCCTACCCCAGATGACGTCACAGGACATTTCAACATTTTACAGGGTGGTAAGACTGCGATTCCTGGCTGGCTGGTGCTCTTACGGACCACAAAACGGATAGAACTGGCCCTACCTACATCCCACGAAGGAGTGCAGCCTAGGTCCCACGACTGCATACAGCCTATCGACCACCACCCCCCCCCCTCGAAAAATTAGACTGTCCCGTGACCAGTGGATTTCCCCTGTTTGGGGTAGGATGTTAAGAAAGCACCGAATACTTGGCACTTTGTGGTAATGGTTAAAACCTAACCTTACAAATAGTACAGACCTTACAAATATCAAGAAACCTTACATGAAGAAACTGGAACATGCGACAACTGGAAGAAGTTATGACTTGAGAACAAACTTGACGACCTTTTGTCGTATCGAACTGATGCATGCTATTGGAAATCGCAAGTTGTGAAAAGCACGTCCAACTTGAGCTATTAGTGAAAAGTTGTGAAAAGTCATATTGATTGCCGACGCCGGTTGGCAAGACACTTACTAATGATGGTGTTGGTATTGATTAAAACTATACCGGGCATTTCCGAGCTCCTGTTTATCACGTGACCATTATACGGGCACTTTCATCAAAACGCGTTATTAGAATTATCAAAATGGCGTCCGTGGAGAGTAGGAGAATCGTAGATCTGCGTGTGATTGATTTGAAAAACGAACTGGAAAAGAGAGGAATCGACAAGACAGGTGTCAAATCCGTTCTACAGGATAGACTTCAGAAGGTAAGAACTTACAAAATATGTTGATTTTCAAACAAGCAGATAACGCTTTCCTGCAGTTACAAATGAATAAATAATTGATGATGATGAATAGCTCCAATGACCAATCTCCAGCGTTCCCGTTGTGCTGTGAGTGTAGACAAACTACCTACAAACACTTGGAACAGAACACATGAGACAGATGTTCCTCGATCTGTTAGTGTTATCAGCTCACTTGAATCACTCACATTTTCTTGCTCGCTTGCCTGTAACGTTCCCCACCAGTAATCATGTAAATTTTTTTTTTCAATTTCATTCATGCCCTGCAGGCAGGCCTCTGGCGATGATTGTTTGTAGAATAGATAGAATTGCTTCTGATCCTGCACAATCCTGAAGTGATTTCACTGTTTTTTCATGTTTCTCTGTCATCTATTGTAAAATTTATCTACTGCTACTACTAATGACTAATGTTCTACAGCTGATTGTCTCTCTGTGCCAGTCTTGCCAAAAAGTTTAAAAACCATCCAGGATTTTGTGCTGTCAGTCTTTACTTAGTTCAGAAAATGAAGTAGAGCATAACATTTAATATTTAACATAAGTTTTGTACCTAAAACTAAAAGCAGTCTCCAACATGAACCAAACTTTTAAACATAATATAATCAGCAGTAAAAGCTGTTATACAGAATAGCCCTAAAACAAAAGCATCTGGTTTAGAAGGAATAATTACAGAAACTATTCAAGCATGTAGTCAAATGGCTAACAAGAATTTTCGGCACTCATCTGAATAAAACTGCCAAATTATCTAGCTCAAAATCATACCCTTGCAGGGCCTCAGTGATATGTAAAATTAGGATGGATTTATTTCTGGCAAATATGGCAGGCAGACCATCCGCTCTGACCCAGATTAGCAGTAATGTTCTACTAACTGATAAACTGGCAGCTGTAAATGTTAGAGCTGCCGACTTATATAAATTAATGAATAATAAACTAAAGCGGCTGCATTGGCTTGCTACACACAGATTAATAATATTTTATTAATACGAAACACAGTAGAATGTTCTTGTTGCAAACGCCTAAAGTCGCTAGTTTTTTTGGTTGGACTGTTGTGACAGATTCTTGTTGCGGTGTTAGGGTTAGCATGAGAAGAAAGGAAAGTTCCACTAGACTGGCAGCAGACATTGATAATACCAAATTGGAAAAAGAAAGTTAATCCAAGAGACTGCATCATTCAGAGGTATAACACTCTTGAGCCACATAGGAAAAATGTATGCAAAGTTATTAGAACAGGGAGTTAGTCTAACTTAGACCAATAATGACACGGCACCTAAGTACGTCACAGTTTGGTTTCAGGAAAAGAAAAGGTTGCACAGATGCATTATTTGCATTAAGACAGGTTTGAAAGAAAACTATTGAATATGACACTGAACTGAATATTGTTTTTTGATCAAGAAAAAGTTTTTGATAGGGTAGACAGAAAATAAACTATGGGCTATTCTTGAGAATTATGGGATACAGAGACAATTGATAGATAACATCGTTTTCCATGTACAGCACTTCTCAGAGCGTAGTGAGAACACAAGAAGGCACATCTGATATGTATACAATACAGTAAGGCAGGGATGTATTTTATTTCCTCTCTTATTTTCTATATACATAGACAGAATATCAAAAGAAGCCAGCTTTAAAGCAGTCAACCCAGAAGATGAGGAACTACTTTCCAGAGGAAGAATAAGATCCACACACAATAAATGAGCTGCTATTTGCAGATGATCAGTGCCTGTTCTACAGTGAGGAGAGTAGAACATTTAAACAGGCTAAGTTCAACATGCAGAAGATGTAAAATAAATACTACTAAACTAAAACAGAAGTCATGCAGGTCAGCAATATTCCTAGCCCACTACATATTGGATTGAATGGTACTTGTCTGAAGCAAGTTAAAGAATTTGAATATCTAGCAAGTATATTCTTAAAGGATTGGAGAATATATAGAGAAATAGAAACAAGATGCCAACCAGCCAGTACACTTATATACCGACACCTATATTAAGACATCTAAACATAAGTATGAGCGCCAAGAAACAGATTATAAACAGCACATTTATACCAACACTGTGCTACCAGTGCCAGACTTGTTTGTTATCAAAGGCTAACCTATGTAAAATTAACAGCTGCGAAATGAGATGCCTGAGAAAAGCCACCAACTTAAGCATCTGAGACAAAGTTAGAAATATGATCGGATAGGCTGTAAGAACAACACTATACAGCAAATTCATTGAGAAACAGAAGATAAAATGGTTTGGTCATTTAGTAAGAATGTAGCCAGAACTACTACCAATGCAGGCACTACACATAAAAAAATCTGAAGTAAAAGTAATAGGTTGCCCTAGAAGAAGATGATTGATTACATTAAAGAGCTTCTACTTCGACATGGAATGACAGTAGCCAATGTTGCCCATCATGCAATGAAATCCAAACTGTTCCTCCCCCCAGAGCTTAATGCGGAAGTGGAAATGGAAATGATGATTATGATGATGATGATGAGTCTTGAAACAGAAATAGGACCTTGCCTTCTTCACATGTAATCGTTAATCGCAGAAGTGAGATACTGGAACTGAAGAAATACAAGTAGATAAATAACATCAGATGAGAAGAGAAAAAAATGGGACATGTCACAGCTGGAAATTGCAGTAGACTTATTTAATGAGAGAGAGAGAGAGAAATATTTTATCATGCAATATTCATGTTTGCAGTAGCCAGATGTTAGCTTTATATTATTCCAATCTCTCCCCGCCCCCCCCCCCCCTCCTTTTTTTTTCTCTCTCCCTTTTATAGCTTTGCAGCAGTCACTTCATTTTGAAATAAGCTGTTAACATTTTATTGGTTAAATGAGTTTGTCCAGTCAGCGGTTGATTTGTAGGGTTAGTGGCTGCTGCAAGACGAGTGGCTGGGCGAATAGTTGAGAATACTGGGCTTTCAAGTGGGAGATGCAGGTTTGAATCCTCCATAAGGTAGGTGTTGGGGGTGAAAATAAAGTCCTAACCCTTCACAATCTGTGAGCATGCTGCCCTAAATCCTGAAATTCAAAGACCCTCCTGTCTGCACTGCAGTTTAAATGCCAACAGCTCCTTAAGCTGTGCAAACTTTTGGCATAGAGTTTAATTATCCTTATTTCAGTGATTGAATTCAGTATTTGCTTTGGGGGTTTTCCTCCTAAATTTGGTTTGTTTGTGGACTAATATTGATTTTTGGTTCAGGATTTTGGAACTTTTTAACTATATAGCGATATTCATTTGTTTCTGAAAGCTACTATTGACTCTCCTCATATGGAAACACTGATTTTTTCTACAGGCTCTTGCGGATGAAGGTGAAGATCCCAGCACTTTTGTGTTTCAAGTTGTAGAAACCCCAAAGAAAGGATCAGCCATTAATAAAAGTAATTTAGTTTGTAAATGTAAACAAAACTTTTGTATGTGTGCTTTTTTTTTCTTTTCAGATATGTTTGTATTTGATTTGTCTTCTTCTTCTTTGCATTCACTAGCTGTAAACTCTGGCAGAAGGTTCTGGTTGTTCATCCGCTTCTGGACTGCAGTCCTGTTCCAGAACTGGAGTGTTGTGCATGCATCCATTTTACAGATCTTGACTCATTTGTATGCTGATTGCTGGTTCCTTTCCTCTCAGGCAGATGCACTCCGACTTTGAAGAAAGCTCCCAGACAGTCGACTCTTACGACATGCTTTTGGGTTGACAGTGGGTCTATTCTTGTTTTCCCTTTAACAGGGCCCCCTAACCCACACAGGGAAATATTTGATTTGTGATTTACGAGCATGTATATTGTACTGTAAACAAATATGTTTAATTATCTGTAAGTTTGCATTCTATAATTGTGTCATGTCAGCAACTGTTTTTGATGCCAGTAGACTTTTGTTTTGGAAGGAAAGGAACATATTGGTTTTATTGTAGCCTTGTGGTATTAATTGTTAGTTTCATTCAGGTCAGGCCAGATAGCATGTAATTGTATTATGTTCTTGACATATATCTAGGGCTATGTATATATATATATCCTTAATTTTCTGTTCTATTTTGTGGTTTACGGCTAGGCTGCAGTGGGCAGCAGATCGGATTTCAGCAAACCATTAATTAGTCACCTTTTATTGTGGCGTGCTTTGTTGAGGGGCAGTGGAACTACAGTGAAGCCTTAGTTGTGGAACTTAATTCATTTCTTAAAGTGCTTTTTCTTCTGTCCTCCAGGTTTCCTTAGATCGTGACAATCTTTTTCCATTTGCTGTCCTTGCCACCAGTTTCATGAAGCCTGCTGCAACATGACCTGGGCGAGGGGTGACTGCGATCAGGCTAGTGTCAAGAAATGAATCCACTAAATCTGTGGCTGAGAAGTGTACCAATGCCAGGAAGGAGAAAAAAAAAAAACACACACACACAGGAACAATTGGACCTTTCGGCAGCAGCCTGTATCGACAAGCTTTTCCTTGTTTTGTTAAGCTTTTTACATCATAGTTCTGTGGATTTATTTCTTTGTATCTGTAGATGGTTGAATTAAGAATTGAAATCATAGAACTCAAGACACCCCCATTAACGCCCCATTTCCAGCAGCAAACAAAGAGTTCCAGTGGCACCAGTAACTGTCTGCTTGTATATCCGTGTCGCCCTTCCCTTGTGTGTTGAGCGTCGGCCAAATCCCCTTGTAACTCCTAGCAGTGCTATTCTCCTCAGACCTTAATGATCTGTCTGCGCTTCCGCACTGTTCCCTTGCTCTCAGAGGACCCTGACAATGTCTGGCTTGTCATACCTCTGTTCACCACCAAGTGGTGCAGAGCCGGCCAATCTATCTGCCTACTCGTTTCCCAACTCACCGACATACATGGAGAGAATATCCAAAGGATGCTAACTACCCGGGACCTCCGAAGTGATACTTGTCGCTCTGCACGGAGCATATCTTGTCTCCACCTTTCTCAACATGCTCTGTGAGTGTTTGACAATCATGGCATGTGTTTATCTTTATATCTATAATGTTGGCAGCATTTACTGTTTTAGCAGCGTCCATCAATAAATATGATTTTTTTATGCGTATTAAGTTTTATTATAATGTCTTTGCTTGGTAGATGAGGATGATGGTGATCTAGCTAATGAAATGGCAGAACTGGATGGTGCTAAAGCAGCAGCTGTTAATGGAAATTTGGATGAGGTATGTATGAGCAAGTATTTGTCATAGTGGTCATTGATATTTCAGATACATGAATCCTCTCTCTTATCAGTCTATATGCTTATGCACACATTTTTCATTCCTTAGTGCACATGTTGTTGGCCACAGTACAAATATTAAGGGGTCACTACATGGCATTTTTTCTAATTTATGACAAAAATATCACTTTTTCAATGTGTTCATTATTGTAAAGTTGAGCATTCGTAGAATAGATTACACACAAAATGTGTGTCTTTTGTAAACAATTTAGCATTGAAAAGTTTATACTAAAGACACCAACCCATGCACTTTTTTAAGATAAAAAAAAGGTTAAGTCACTTTTCTAACAATTCTATTTTTCTGTTTGTTGTGTGTGGGATCTCCTAAAATCTCAGCTAATATTAAGACTACAGACGTGAAATTTGGTGTGGATACTCCTATCACAATATTATAGGGTCGGGTCTATTTAAATTACATTTTATTAAGTAATTTTTTTTTTTTATTTATTATCTTAAAAAAAGCTACATTTTTGTATTTTTTCAGCAAACCTAAATTGTAATATTCTAAAAAAAAAATATTTAGAAACATCTTTGAAGTAAATAAACTAGACCTGACCCTAAACATAGGTTTAAAGTTCATGAATCAATCATCTGTTTCTCAGTACCTCTGTTTGTTTTTGAAATTTTAGCTGTCTACATTTTCTTTTTTTCATTAAGATGGCAACCATGTTTTTTAAAACTTGAAGTCTACAAATGTATCAACATACATCCCTACAAATGACCATTATAAAATAATTGGTCTAACATTGTCAGTAAAAAAAATAAATTCTCCTTTAGTGACCCCTTTAAGAAAAGCGTAAAAGATGTCAAATGAATTTACAACCAGAAGGGTGCAATGGCATTAGCACAAAAATATAACTGATTGCACTTGACCTGTTTCAAAAAGCAGTGTTCATGTAATATATTTTAAATGATTTCACCCGTTCAGGTGACTTGTTTGGGCCATCCTAACATTGACAGAGAAGACCTTTGAGTTTTGTGTAGCCCAATTGTATCGCCAAATAGGCACAGAAATGAGAAATAAACGGGTTTAACAAACTGAGGACATCCAAGGTAAACTCTAACATGAATGATGAGAGGCCAGAGGTACTGACCTGGATTTCCTCAATGAAATTGAAAATATGGCAGGGGATAAAACATAATGGAGTGGACTGCGAGTTTTGAGGAACATATTTGTTATGTTTGTCTGCTTTCACTGGCTGTAAACTCCAGCAGAAAGTCCGGGTTGTTCTGGACTTTAGCTTTGTTCTAAGACCTGAGTGTTGCATCTGAATCCGTTTTACAGATCTGGCTTGTTTGTATGACTTTTGTGTCCTTCCCTCTCAGGCAGATGTACACCGACTTAAAGGGTAACATCTAAAAAGTAACTTTTTACAACATACTTATCAGAGGGTCTTCCCCCCCCCCCCCCCTCGCCCATGGTAGAGCTGTCATGCCCTTACCTTGGGTGTTGAGCGTCGGCCAGATCCTCTTGTAACTCCTCGCAGCACCATTCTCCTCAGACCTTAGTGATTTGTCTGCGCTTCCGCACTGTCCACTCACTCTCAAAGGGCCCTCACAACTTCTAGCTTGTCATACATTAATTCACTACCAAGTGGTGCAGAACCGGCCAGTCTGTCTGCCTGCTTTTTGTTTAAAGTTTAAAAAAAAACTGTTTATATCCATTTAAGCAACATAAAATGCAGGGAGAAGTGCATATTTATCCAGAATAAATTTGTGTGAAACTGGTAAAACTATAAGAAATTATATACCTTCTGTACTTGCCCTTAAAAGAGTGGTTGGAATGTTATGTTATGGTTGATATCTAGACTCCAGTATTTGACTTCCCAGCACATCAGATTTGGACACACCTTTAATGTCGTCTTTTACAGTATGTTTTTTTTTTTTTAAAGAGCAGGATATGGCAGCTGGTATATTTGTTTGTCCCCAAAACGGGATTCGGGCCCCACATGAGGAATAGGAAACCATATCATTGTTTTAAGTTAAGGCTTGATTAATTGTGTTTTGTTTGTTTGTTTGTTTTTGTTCCAGAATGCACAGAGTGCTGGAAGTGAAGAGCAGATTCTGGGTGATGAAGGTATTAAATGTGCATTTCATATTTCTAGTAACAAGGCAGGATCCCTCCTACTTCACCAGCGGATTCTTATTTTTTGTTTTGTTTTGTTACTGATAAAAACCGATTCCTGGTAGCTTGTGTTTCTTTATCAGGAGGTGTATGTGTGTTTAGAAATGTTATAATAAGAGAAATATAACGTAAAATTAAGACATTGAACTTTGTTATATCACTTTTGCTTAACTTTTAATTCCACAATGTCCTAGCTGATGTCTGAGCGAGGCAATAACGAAAATAACAAACTCCTAGATGTACTACTTCCACAGGGATCAAATGCACAATCATTGGTTGGAAATGAAGTTATCAGAGTTTTTTTTATAGTTGTTGACAAACACAAAATGTAACATAACACATATTTTGGAACTGATGAAAATATCCAGTCACCCCTGGAGCGTTGCTTGGGATAGAAAGAGTTCAAAGGACGGTGAGATGATAGCTGAACTTTTATGATGGTGAGGTTTCCAGTGAAGAAAAGACCTAAACATTGTCAGAGGCTTGGGTTGGCAGCCAGATGGAAACAAATGGATGAATAACCGGATTAAAAACATTGTTGAACTTCAGTTTCTTCATCAAGGAAAACAAGACCTGTACAGGACATTACACTAAATGTTAGCTGTTGAATGAGAAATGTCGGCCAGGACAAGCAGGGACTTTGAAGTATCTGGATGTGGCTTTACCTGAACCGATAGGACTTACTGAAGGTTTTCTTTGTTAGATTTCTTCAAGAAGGTAATGTAAATGGTATGAAAAAATATTATCATTGGTACAGTAACAGATACAAGTCATTGACAACAGCTGGCTGGTGGAAATACCAATCAGGGATACTTAAGGACCATACACAGATCTAGATATGGTGGATACATTGAACTGCATGCAGCGGAGGACTTCATGTCAACATTAAGAGGACAAAATTAATGACCATCCTGTGCCAGATTTCAAGAAGGCAGTATGAAAGTGGTGCCAAAAATAGTTGTTTACATTAGCACAGTGGCAGATACAAGAGAGTTACTGTGATACAGTTTTAACAGATGCAAGTACTTTCATCACAGAGATAACAAGAAATTCAAGGTTTATTTATAAATATGCTGTACTACCAACCAAACAAAAAGGGGATGGTGGTCATTTACATTGATAGAGGTTTAACAGATGCAAGGTGTCTTGCATGACTACTAACAGGATTGAGTCAAGTACAGCTAAAACAGAAAAGGGGATGGTTCTTCTTATCCACAACATAATGCTGATCTGAAGTGAAAACAGGAGTAAAGGAACTGAAATACTTCAAGTGGAAGAAAACATCAAACACTTTTAAGTAGAAAAGCATTTTGAGGAACAGAAACAAGGATACAGGTAAAGTTAAAAATGCTGTGGAAAAAACTTATTGGAATTTAGATAAACGAAGTGACTAAGGTACGTGGATACAGAACACAGGAAGGGCCCTACAGCAGCATATTGAAGACTTAGATCAAGTGGGTGAATGGAAGCATACAGGACAAGAAAAGGATACAGTGATGCAAGAGTGATATGTGTTGCCAGATGGAGCTGTCATCAATTGGTGCATGAATTCTGAGTATCTTAAAATAGATAATCAGTTATAGAGCAACAAGTGTGTAACTGATGTGTAACATTTTGATGGGGAATCAGTACAGAGGACAGCATTTTGTGTGAAGACCCTGTGAAAGACTGGTTGGCAGCATTGTGAGCAATGTAGAATTAAATGATCTACCAGAAGACGATCAGCGGACAGGTTGTTTCCCGTACAAGCAAGACAAGCTGTTCCAGTAAGTAACCTGGGTAGATGTGCTGAGTCAACCTTTGATGCCTGTAGACGTCATTCGTACAAGTTATATTGTATCCTAATCTCATTTTGTGAATTTCTTTAGTTCCCCATAATGAGATTGGCGAAGATGCAGCTGACAGCTCTGTCGATCAGGATCTTGGAGTGGAATATATAGAGTATAACGTTGAGGAAAATCCAGACAGTGAATCCAAGTTGCTGGAGGACACAAATGATGGCAGTCAAGAAGCGGATGCGGCTACTGAAATTATGCCTTCCGTTGAAACGTCTGATGAATTGGACTCACAAGCAGCATCCGTCGAAAAGCCCAGCCCTGCAAAGTCGACAGTTCTCGTCAAAGGAGAACCAGGAGAATCTGCAGCCATTTCCGAAGCAGGAGATGAATCATTCGTGGTGCAAGTTGACGACACAGTGTTGAATGATATTGATGCTGACCTTCTAGACAGCACACACAGTCGTGGAGCATTGGGGGACAGCAAAGGAAATGCAGCGGAGACTGACCAAAATAATTCAACAGCCACCGATGCAGCATCAAAATTGGCTGAAAATGCTGACACAAAAGACAGCAAGACAGCCGCAGCAAGTAAAGATGAAAAAGACACGAAGACCGTGGCCAAGAGGTTTGTTTTACATCATTAAAATGGCTTTGTTGATTGTGCAGTGTGCAGTCATTTGGAAGGGGTTACAAGTTCTCATGCTGTCTTCTGAAACTCATTTATTTCATAGCTGGTGTGTGTATGGCAATCCAAAATTTATTTACTCACAGTAGTACTACATTCACCCACACAAATACAATTGTCTTGCATTTCATATAACTAGCAAACAAGATAATATACACTGCTTTTGAGTAAGCTTATATGTGCTACTTAGATATAACAGTATACTTTGTATGGGCCTGAATGTGTCTTCATGTTACTATTATGTATGTTTAAAATACCTATCATGCTAGGTGTAATAAGGAAAGATTTGCAGGGACAATATCATCAGGAGTCGGCACAGAACCGATACTGAACTTTTTTGATAGACAAATCAAATGGGTTGGCCATGTAACAAGATTGGCAACAGACAGGTTACAATAGAGAGCAGTGTTATTCAGATACAGCGTTAATGGCCAAAGGTCAACCCTGCAGAGGATGGACCACAGAAATATTGTCGACTACATGAAGTACTACAGTACTACAAAGCAAACAGAAGGGCCTTTTCCAGAGATCTCTTCCTGCCATGAAGCTGCAAGGCATTCCAGTAGTAGAGAAAAGATTTGTTGTATAGTTCTAAAAAAATGTTGTTTTGATATTAACGACCCTTTCACTGAAGAAGAATGCATCTTGGCCTGTCAGTAAATGGACACTCGCCATGATGGCACAGTCTCCAACAAGCCACATCGCCTTGTTAGTTTGATACTCCTGAAATAGTTTCAGAACTTTCAGTTACAGGAGGTTCACACCATGGAGGTCAGTAACCACAGTAGAAGAAAATTGTTTGAAAAGAGGCAGTGTATATAAAGCTGCAAATTAAAATATCTAGCCAGGTTTCTTTGGTATATTCAGACCAAACTTTAATAAAGATGTGATAAGTCTACACTTGCTGATCACATATGGTGTGTTGTTTGGGACAGAAAGAGTTAATAGTGATGAACAGGTAGAATTTAAAATTTCTATTGGTTTGGTTTGTATCAGTTAGACTATTTACAGAAACTAGCATACTGGAATGTATTTTTGGCTTATAGTGATACAAATTAGAGAACTTATCATTAACACCTCAATGTGTTCTTTTTTGTTTTTGTTCCAGCTCATCATCTAAGAAGGATGAAAAAAGTAAGTTTTATATCATTTTTGGTCATGATAAGAACTCATATTCCTAATCTGTTTTAGTTTTGTATCTGCTATAATCTTTTTTTTTTAAGTTGTTGATGTTTAAACTTATTACAAATGTTCAGGCGAGACAAGCATATTATTTGTTTGTTGGCCATGTTATGAAGAGAAAAAAAAAGAAACCAGGATATACTGTAATGACTGGAAAGATTTATGGAAGAAGAGATAGACAACATGACATGGAAGGGTGTTGGCACATGAGTTGATACATGATGTTGGACATGGGTGCCCGTCGCTGTGGCACTTGATGATTATGAGAGTTAATTTTCGTTAGGAGCCTTAAATTACCAAACTATTGGGACACGGCAATGCATTCAATTGATTTATAATCTAAAGTGAGGTATCAAAACAGTTGTATGAAGATGCATTGCTTAAATATACAGGGCAAGAGGAGCTTTCATAGCACTTAAGAATTTGTGGAGATCAGAAGAAATAAAAATTAATACTAAACTTAAAATTGTTAGTTCTGTTGTCAAATCAGTACTGTTGTATGGAGCGGAAACATGGGGAACAACTAAAGCAGTTTATAATAAACCACAAACATTATTTAACTGGTGCCTGCACAGAATAGAGGAATTGAATGGTATGATAGAATCACTGATGTAGAGCTTTGGGAGAGAACTGAACAAGTTCCAGTGGACCAAGAGGTGAGGAAAAGATGCTGGGCTTGGATAGGACACATGTTGAGAAAACCTGAGAATAGTATTACTAGTATGTCTTTGCACTGGAACCCACTGTGGCATAGAAATATGGAGAGACCCAAAAAACACATGAAGGGAGCTGGAGAGTGGTCCACAAGATAGGAAAGACTTGGGGAGAGCTGCATGCGATAGCAAAGGATAGAACGACTTGGCGGGAGTTGGTTGAGGCCCTGTGCTGCTCCATTGGGGATTAGAAAGGCAGAAAAAGAAGAAGAGGTGCATCACCATCTGTATTTGTGCTGAAACTGGTAAAAACTACACTTCTCTGCATCATCATAGAAACAGATTTGTTACCTGGGGGCCTGGTCAACGTAGGTAGGATAATTTCCTTCAAAGCCGTCAGGACACATCTGCCTGAGATGCGAGGAAACAACAACCTAGCACACACAAAAAAGCCTCATGTGTTAAACAGATATTTGTGCAAGAAGAACTGTACCAAAGTCCAAACAGATATAACCAACCAGGACGTTTTGCTGTAGTTCGCAGCCTGTAATTGCAGATGAAAAAGAAGAATTAAATGCAGTATTGAGATGTTTTAGTAGCTCTGTACTAGTAGAATAGCTGAGTAGATAATGTTTTTCTTTATCAGAGCTGTCGCAGATTTTCTTCTTAGAGCTGTGCCGGAAGTTGCATTTCTTTTGAGCTGTAGTATAAGATTGTTACTTTTCTTGAGCTATGATAGAAGACAAAAGGTGGTGGACTATGATGCCAAGAGGGGGGTGGGTGGGGGGAGGGGGACAGGAAGGGAATGGGAATGAAGGAAAATAATTGTTGCAGATAGTTTGAGAGGTTAACGGCTGAGAAGCATATTTAATACTTGTGTACAGCAGTCCTGAAATCCCAGTCTCTAACTGTGGAAAACGTTACTTTGCGTGGCCAGTTAGTCTTACTAGTCACACTCGCCATCGTCTTGGGTTGTAATTCCCATGGCAGAGAGTACCACTGTCGTCTTGAAAAACGGAAAGGTGCAAACATGTGACAGAAGATTTTTTTCTTTACAGGCTTGTGTTATGAGTTTTTTACTTTTCTTTTCAACTGTGCTGGAAGATTGTTACTTTTCTTTAGAGCAGTGACAGAAGATTGCTATAGTAGCATAATTTAATGTGCATTATCTACATAATAGTCTTGGTACCTTTAATCCTTTGCAGATGTATGCACAGGTGTGCTCACACACACCTCTCTGACAAATAAGAAATCCTTTCGATGGTCTGTAACTAGAGAATTGCTTTTTTAATTTGAAATTGTGGTGCCTGAATTATGTGATTTGTAATTGTCCCACAGCCACACAGAACAGTCGCAATCTTTGGGTGAGTGGATTATCTTCTAGTACCCGGGCCACCGATTTGAAAACACTCTTCAGCAAATATGGCAAGGTAAGATATATGTGTTTGAAAAAGTGAGAGAGAGAGACAGACAGACACAGAGAGAGAGGGAGGGATGTAGGGGAGGGAGAGAGAGAGAGAGACTGACTGGATGTTCTAGCAATACTTTGCATACTTTTTGTAGCTACAATTACTGTATTTTACAGCGTATAAGTTGATCTCAAGATATTTAGCTCAGATGTCTGAGTTAGGTGCATTATTTGTTTATTGTCTCATTGAGCCATTATTTGTCACATAGGGCCTGCAGTTGATTTCTCCATTCTGTTGTATCCTGTGCAGATGGATGGGATCCAATGCCTCTTTAATGATTTTTGTAATTTTTTTTTTGTTTTAGGTTTTCTTTTGGACGAAACTGTTTTCTCAGACCCTTTATTTTCCCATTTTAGTGCCTTTTTGGTGAGGTGATACTCTGCCTATTTCTTTTCAGAATGTGTCAACTATAGTGCTATCTTTTTTTGTCTTAAAATCTGTTACCAAATATTTCTCTTCTTTCTTCACTCCTCTTGAATTCTTTTTCTTCTTCGCGTTCACCAGCTGTATACTCTGGCAGAAAGTTTTGGTTGTTTGTCCACTTCTGGACTGCAGTCCTGCTCCAGAACCTGAGTATTGTGCATCAGTTTGACGGATCTAATTCACTTGAATGCAGACTGTTTTTTCCTTGGCTCTCAGGCAGATGCACTCCGACTTCAAAGGGAGCTCTCCATTTAGTCGACTCTTACGACATGCTTTTGTTTAGGCAGTGGATCTATTCTAGCTTTCCCCCCAGTGGGGCCCCGGAACCCACATGGGGAACCTCTTGAATTCATCCCATTTTTACGTTCAACATTTTCCTCAAGCATTTGTTTTCATATGCACTTAACATTTGTCTTTAGTGATTTTCCAACTTTCACTCGCATGTGTTAGAACTGAAATAACATTAGATTGACAATATTTAACTTGGTTTTATTTAGCGTTCCATGTTTTGTTCAGTCTCTTAAAAGCTGCTGATGTCTTGCCAATGTGAATCATAATTTGAGTTGGGCCTGTACTTCAGGCGCTTGGCGTATGTCAGCCTCTAGTTTTTAAGGTTTGAAGACAAATTATTCGCCACAGTTTACGGTGTGTTGATTCTTTTCTTTCCCAGCGCAGCTCTTTGACATATTTTGCTGTTTTCATGTTCACAGGTAGTTGGCGCTAAAGTGGTTACCAATGCTCGCAGTCCTGGCTCTCGGTGCTACGGCTTTGTAACAATGGCATCAGCAGACGAGGCTACCAAGAGTATCCAGCACCTTCATCGGACAGAACTGCATGGTAGAATGATTTCTGTAGAAAAGGTACATATATGTGTTGTGGGATACCGTAAAATTGTGAAAAGCATCACTTAAAATTTTTTTTTTGTCTTTTTGAATTTTGAAAATATTACATATTTTTATGTTTAAGAAGTAAGCGACTGAGTAGTTATATGCTGGTCTCTCATCAGGTCGCAAGGCCTCTCCTATGTAGGAGGGTGTGTATGATATGGCCTGGTTTGGTGTTCTCTCGGCGTATAAAATGTTTATGGAAGGTTGTGTTGTCGTGAATCTATTTCAGGCGCCTGTGTACGAGTATGAAATACTCCTGGGCAATGCGCCCTAGACACAACAATTCTTGAGTACCAAAAGTGGGATGTTTTTGTATTTCTGCATTCGTTGGCGGTGGACTCCTCCGAGCGAAAGAAAGCACAAGGGAGGAGGAATAAAAAAATATCCCTAAACTGTCATGCTGGTAGCAGAACGTGAAAATAATCCAGCAAGTGAGCGATGAGAAGACAAGAAATTAGGGAACGGTTAAGGCTTTGACAAAAAGGAAAACATGTTACAGCTGCAACATAGGAGAAGTTCTGCTACCCAACGAGACATGAATAGCCAGGGAAGTTGCTCTCTTTCTGAGCCAGGAAATGTAAAATTAACCTACTTTTCTTCTTCAGGTTTCCCTACTTTGCACACAGCTCCTTTATCCATCTGCCGTCTGTTGAATAGCTGTCCTTGTCAGTGTCACCGGGCATTCTGCAATCATGTCAAAGCCATTTCTATCTTTTTTTTTTTTTTTCTTAAAAAGTTTGCCAGTGATTGCTATTATATTTTCCTCCTCAATTCTTCATTTATTATCTTGTTTAACCAAAATATTCGCAGGATTTTCCTTAGACATTTATTTGAAAAAGTCTTAATTCCTGCTGTCATTGTCCATCACACACTGTTCTATGAGTATTTCTAAAATGTTGCTGTTGCCTTCAGAATAAATTAAGCTTGTAACTACCGCAGACTCATTGGCCCATAATGAGTACGTCATAAAGGTGAGCAAAAAAAAAAAAAAAACAGGTTGGCTAAAATAGAATGTTAAGGGCCATAAAAAGCACCAGTATCACAGCCTAGCTGTAAACTGTAAAGTCACATTGGCTCTTTCAAGAGCGAACACAGATGAGTTTTTTTTTAGTTGTAATAATTCTTTGCCAGTAAACATTTAGAGAACTAAATGAACATATACACAAGCGTAAAGGGGAACACAATTGAAAATCTCTTTGTTTGCAGGCTAAAACAGAACCACAGGGAGCAAAAGCCAAGGTGTTGCCACCAAGTGGGTTGAAATCTCCGGCAAAGGCAGCTCGGCCATTACATCGTTCGGACAGGAAGCCGGCAACGCCACGGAAGGATGGTGGTAATAAAGTGATTTCTTTCTGTCTTAGTAATTGCCTTTTATTGTAAATCATTCTAATAATGCAGATGCGGTGATATGATTCTGAGTTTGATGCATTAACTCACCAGACAGATTAAATGTGAGTGAGCCTTTTTGATGAGGGCAGCATGGGGGTGGGATTGCCTGTCTATTCCTTTACCCATTTGATTTATTTCAGTTCACTGACATTCTAAGTTATATTGTTGTCATTTTTACCTCATCTCTTGTTTCACCGAAATTGTTTTGGCTCTCTCCCAAAGCTCTACATTAGTGGTTCCATACCATTCCATCCCCTCTAATTTGCACAAGAACCAGTTAGTGGATGTTTCTAGTTTATCAGTAATTTTTATAAAAGTTATTTTTGCCTAGTTAAAAGTGATTCTGTTTATCAAAAGCCTGTTGTGTCTTCTGTTAAAGGCTGTGCAACTTTTTTTAATTATTATTATTATTTAACAGTCTTTGATGCAGTCATATTTACTGATTTGCTAGAGGACAGCAGTGAAGTATTAACCACAGTTGCTGCGTGGCCGCTCGTTGCAACATGAGGATGTAATAACTAAAAAAAAAAAAAAACTGCGTAAAGAATTGACTTCATTGTGCCAGGTTTTATGCCCTGTGGTTTGGTCTGTGTGTGCTGTGAATGGCTGTTTGTCACGTTATCTTCTTCAGTTTAACTTTTCCACAGATCTTTCCAGCCGTCATAGTTTCATTCTCCTCTTCTTCTTCTTCTTCTCTTCCACCTTGTACCTCATCGAAGTGTCGGGGGGAGATGTAATGTTCGTTGATGAGCTCTGTCAAGAACACTATTAAGACTGATGTTCATTTCTGTAAGGCTGTTCTTAATGCCATCACTCCATCTTTTCCGAGGTCTTCCACTCGCTTTATACCCGTTGTAACGTTTTAGTGTGGCTCGCTGTGGCAGATAGTACCAGGGCATTCTTGTTAGGTGTCCAAACCATTTCATTTGTTGTTCTTTGATGACATGTAAGACTGGCTTTATTCCTAGCATTTGTCTGATTTCATGATTTTGTATTCTGTCTTTCCTTGAAACTCCTGCAGCTCTTCTAAGGCATTTCATCTCTGTTGTCACAATTTTACGTTCATTGGAGGATGTAAGTGTCCACGTTCGGCACTGATAGCATAGTATTGGCCAAAAAATAGTTCTGATAAGATTCACTTTAGTATTCCGAGGTATCTGCTTGTGTGTCAACAGGGGAGATAGTTACCCATTACTAGATTAGCTTTGGCACATCTGGAATCATTCTCCTCATGACTATAAAATGATGTCTGTTTCTAATGTTTGTGAAAAGTTGTATTCGAGACCTCGCCTTCTTCAAAACATCTGGGTTGATCTTTTTCGGGGTTGGTCTTGAAACCTGGATAAACCCTTGAATGGCAAGTTGGCCCTTGAAACACCCTGGATAATTGAACAAAGGGCAAAAGTCCTTGAACTTAAAACCAAAAATAAACTTATTTGTGTTTGTGGTTTTTGTGTGTGTGTGTTGCTGCTTACTCTACTGTTCCATGAGTTACATTAGCCTTTTTTTTTTTTTTAGTGTTTTGTAAAGTACAGCTGTCAATTTGTCAGTGTTTTTTTGTTGTTGTTGTATGCACCATATACTCATTGTTTTTATCGGTTCTTAGAGGTCACTATGTATAGAAAATGACTAAACCCTTTGAATTGTTTTGCCTTTACCTTATATAAAGCCATTTGGAGTTTTAGTATACTTGGAAAGTACCAAACATTCAGTTATGCTAATGGTAAAAATGAGCACCCTTTCAATTTTTTGCCCTCTGCCACCAAGTCTAGAAAAGATGTAAAAACACCAAATATGTGCGTTGATATACACATGTATGCGTACAAATAGAGTACCACATAAGCCCAGTGCACCAGCAAGGTAAAAAATATAGAAAAACCTTTGAAAAGGTTGGCAATTTTGGCCACAATCCCTTCTTTTTGACGTAAAGCATCTGAGAAAGATTTTGGTGAACTTTTCTTTTCTTTGTCTAGTCTTGCTTGGCTTGTGTTGTCATACTGTATTTCTGTAGTGTCTGTTTGGCTCCCTCCACCCATCTCTTTCCTGGTCGGCTTCTTGCCTTGTAGCCTGCTGTTCTCATGTAGTGTGCTTTAGCTGCAGGCTGATTTTGTTTCTCGTTCTGACCAGATGACCAAACCATTCGATTCTTTGATGTTCTATGAAATCAGTAACAAGTTCTGTGCCTATTGTTCTTATTTCTGCGTTGGTGATTGCTTTTGTGTTTTTCCCAGCATTTTTTCATGCATCTCATCTCACACGTTATAATTTTGTGTTTTCTAGGTGGGGATATTTTAATGAAATAAATCATGTAATAAAAGTTGTAATCATCTCATAGTTGTTGAAAATTTATTCTTTTCATTTCATAATTCAGAACATCGACGCCCATCCAAGGACAAGTCAAGCTTGGGGGACAAGAAAAAAAAAGATGTTGATGTTTTGTCTTTTGAAAAAATCAAGGTATGCTGAATATAGAATTTATGTCATAAGTCATACACAATCTAATTATATCCCGTATCAGCATTTTTCTTGAGTCAAACATAAAATTGTGCTCTTGCATCCAAGCATCTTGTGTGGTGTATTTTTATTTCTTTGGCTTCTACTTTTCTGTATCCCTTTATTATTACAAGGGCTGGTGAAATTTTGCATTGTAGTTTGCAGTTAGGCTGCGATGTTTGCACCTTTATCTTCTTCTTCGCGCTCACAGGCTGTGAACTCCGGCGGAAAGTTCTGGTTGTTCGTCCACTTCTGGACTGCAGTCCTGTTTCAGAACCTGAGTGTTGCGTGTGCATCTGTTAGACAGATCTGTATGCAGACTGTTGGTTCCTTGCCTCTCAGGCAGATGCACTCCGACTTTAAAGGAAGCTCCCAATTAGTCGACTCTTACGACATGCTTTTGGGTAGGCAGTGGGTCTATTTTTGTTTTTCCCATAGTAAGGCCCCGGAACCCACACAGGGGGTTTGCACTTTTCAGTTTAGCATATCAGATTTTAGCAAAGCCTTAATTATCTTTTATCGCATGCTTGTTTCAACATGTTTCATGCTTTTCTCAACAAAATTTTTACAAATTTATATTAATGTGGGGGGGGGGGGGGTGGATTAATGTGGTTAATCTGTAAACATGATGGAGAAAAACATTAAATAGAATATATTCCCCTCTGCCTAAAGAAGTGTATCGGTGAACTCATCCTGTAACCTTGTTGAAATTCTAAATGTAAGACTGGACAAATTATTATGACGATAAAATGGTTATAAAATAGCTATTTTAACAACAGGAACCACCACACGCACATACCACACTTTTCTATCTGTGTCGCGCCCTCCCCTCCCCATACAAATTTTTTACAATGAATTTATTCACACCCTTGACCCATTGATCGCTGGGCAAGCGTAAACACACCCGCAAGCGTAAACACAATCGTTGGCTTTGACTGCCTCTCAAAAACATGCTCGCAAAATGCCTTTTGTTTTGACTGCATGAAGTGTGTTACGTTGCACAGCTCCATCAAGCCTTACCGCACACATATTTTTTCATATTTGCTTTCCCTAGCCTTTGTCCCCAGTTTAACTGTGAAGCAGCAGGTTTGTGCAAGACTGGCTCCAGCTGGCCGGCCATGCCCCTGACGTCACCAAACCGGGCTAACGATACGCTAACGCATCGTTTTTAAAACTTTTTTTGTCAGGCAAAGAAATTTTTTGCGGCACACCTACCCTTAAAGACGCTTGAATGCTTAAGAAAAGAAGAAGAAAGACTATACTACAAATTTATTGTCAAGCAGATTTTGAAAAATTCTTGATTATTGCCGTGGCACCCAGTTTGAGAAACGCATTAACATATCGTTAGCCCGGTTTGGTGACGTCAGCAGCATGACCTGTCAGCTGGGGCCGGTCTTGGTTTGTGTCTCCCTGATTCCTGTCTACTGATCTGTCCAGCATAGTAGTGATGCAGTCCACCACTTGCTAAGTTGAGGTTGATATTTGCTCTTGAGTTATTAAGATACACAAGCCCCTTTACCACAGAGGAGATGCACCAAATAGGGAAAACTGGTTTTCCTAACCATCGATGAAAATCTCAACGTTTCATGTAAACACAAATTTTTTTTTCTATTGTTGCAATTGTAGTTTCTTTCTTGCATTGTTTATGATAATGTTGAGCATTGTTAATTGTAAATTGACTTTTTTCCTTCAGGCGGAAAGGGAACGTGAACGACTCAGGCGAAAGGAATTGTTTCTACGCCAAGAGGAACGGAAGCGCAAGCTAGCTCTTGAAAGGGAAGAATTTAAGCAGCGAATGATAGATAAACGCCAGAGGGATGAAGCAGCTAAGATTGAGCGGGAAAAAAGACGCCTTAGGTTTGTTTGTTCTTGTTTATGATACCTTTGTGTAACTTTTTAGTATAGTTCATTTGGTCTGATTATATCTTGTTCGTGTCATTTCCGCACGCTGTAAACTCTGGCAGAAAGTTCCGATTGCTCGTCCATATCTGGACTCTAGTCTTGTTCCAGAATTTTAGTTTTGTGTGCACATCCCTTTAACGGATCTGGCTTATTTGTAAGCACACTGTTGGTTCCTTGCCTCTCGGGCTGATGCATTCTGATTGCCAAGAAAGCGCCCCTCCACCGCCCAGATGATTAACTCTAACAGAGTTGTTAAGGGCAGCAGGTCTGTTCTTTATCCCCCCCCCCCCCCCCCCTCCCCATTTTTGCACTAGTAGTGCCCTAGAACCTACATAGAGATTCTTATATCTATCTTAGACAAGTAGTAATCATTTTTTGGCCACATGAGAAAAGAAAAACTGGAAGAGATAGGGGAAGACACTGAGGGAACAGGTTTGTCCAACTTGACAGGCTTTTGTTGTAGCACAGAAACTTGTTAGCACACAAAATGTTTTGTAGGATTGGAGATCTCAAGATGTGAAGCTGCTTCGTCACCAGTCCTAGTCAGCAAAGTACTTGATTATAATGCTGGTTTTAGGTGCGTTCTATGTTGTTCGTTGTAATGCTGCATGAAAATCCTTTGGTTCTTGTTGTTTCAAACTAATCTAGTGTTGTATTCTGGCATTTGTACAGAGCAATGAGAGATGAACTGGAGCGAGAGCGCATAGAAACAGAAAGGCTAAGACTTGAAACAGAGAGGCTACAGATAGAAAGAGAACAAGAGGCATACAGAAAAGAACAGAGGTATACATGTGTTTTAAAAAAAAATGTAGTATGTATGCTGTCATATTTATCAAACTAAGTTTTTTAAACATTGTTTAGTATGTTTGATGCCATGTCCAGGGCATTAAGTTTTGTAACATTATTCAGTATGCGCAATGTCAAATTTAGTAAGTAAGAGACCACAGTTAATGCCATGTGGCAATGTTAATTTGTGATGCTCCAAATTTTCAGACTGATAGACCCCTCTGAAATATTTTTGTAACCATTGGCTGGGTCGACTTAAGGTCCCAGCTGAAAACACATAATCAGCCCTAGAAGGGATTCAAAAACATGATCATGTCTCCATCTTGCTGACCACTTCACTGTCAAACCTCCCAAAAATATTGTTAGTAGTATTGAAGTCTCCTTCTTTATATAATGAGGGTGAAAATCCCAACATATGAAATGAATTCAGTAATTGCCACATAGTGGCGCTCATCTTGTGAACAGGCAAAATTTGGATAAGTAAAGTGATCTTAAATTTATGTTGCTTCTTCTGATGCGAATGTTTCTGTTATCAGAGCCCTGCAGAGCCGCCGAGCAGCAAAACGTCCAGCAGAGAGACCTCAAGAAGAATGGCCAGCAAAACGTCCAGAGCGATTTTCTGGTGTAGACAGGTGTGTTAAACATTCAGAAGTGGCGGGTTTATGTTTTTAAAAAATCAGCATGGTGCATTTTAGTCTGCAGTTCTATCATGTTGTTTATATTGTTGTATCAAGCATTAGGGTGGTAGGGTACATCAGAAAAAGTCACGCACAAAATTTGTTCGGTGATCGGCTAAGTGGAGTTTAAATTTCTTGAAACAAAGCATTTTTCAATTCACAGCTGTCGTCCCATTTCTGGGTAAACAGTCGACTGCGGTGGCCATCTTTGGGAATCAGATGCCCACATGATCAGTTTCAGCCAGCCGGAATCGCCTGTGGTGACTAAGATTGTGTTACATCCATATATGGAAGTTTCTGGGTATTTATAGGGGCAAGTGAATCAGCCGTAAATGAAAAATGTATAATTCCACAATCATGAATCCCACCGAATAGTGTAGGGGTTATAATTCCGATTTTCAATGATATATAATACATACAGTTATCTTCTTGTGCTTAAAGCGTTTGCCAAGGGCTAAACGTGGCTAATTTCCTAGCCAATTTCAATAAACAAATAATATCACAGCTAGGGTTAGCTCAGTAAAATATTAATATTGCATTAAAATAACATATTTTAGACAAATGCTGAATCTGACAGAAGACATACTAAGGTATAAAAACAAACTTTAAAAAATTGTCAGCCCGACCCAAATTTTATGTTTTGAACACTCGGCACATTACCTCAACACATATATAATGACGCACAAATATAAAACATAACCTTTGTTTTTTTTTCAACTGTTCAGTCAGTGTCCACCATTCTTGGTGAGGTCCCTCAGTCTGCATATAGTCATTCAATCTGTCAAGTTTAGGGACACTGCGTGGTCTCGAGGCTTGGTGTCCACCTCGAGTGCTAGAGGTTCTGGGTTCAATCCGTGGTAAGGGCTGAGATTTTTTCACGTGTGGAGTTGGACTTCAAGCTTTTCCCCTTGTCTGTGGGTAGTGGGATCGTATGCATTGTTGCGCACGTAAAAAAATCCCTTGACAGTTGGAAATAGAAAAAAAAATTGCCTAACAGTGCTGCCTGGAGTTTAAAATCTACCCAAAGTATTTCAGAATCCTCGCCAGTGCTACAGAGCCAGTGCACTGGGCTGAGCTTCTTCGGACTCAGACTTGAGTTAGAAAAAGAATAGACCACTTATGGGCTCTGGTGTTGATCCGTTGCTCAAAACTTCAAACTTCTTTCAAGTTTCAGCAGATTGTTTTGTATATAACATAGTTATGATATATTTGTTAAGGGTGTCTAATTTATACACTGTAGCAGCCATATTAGAAAGCTAATTAGCATAGTTAATGAGTTTAGTATGTTAAAAACAAACAAATGTAGTATGTTAAAAACAAACAAATGTAAGTCCATTTGCACACTACACCCATGAGTGTTTGATTCTGTGATAATTAGTTTTTAACCCTTTGTACCCAACCACCTTAAGCAGTGTTAGCTGGCAGAGCGGGCTAATTCCCAGTGTTGTCCTTATGTAGTACTTGAGTGTTCCCGCAGACATTATTTGCTTAAATAGACCTCTGTAAGTTTTTATGCTTGTTTAATAAGTCCTTGTAATTTTCCTTGTCAGGGGGTCACGCTTTGAAAGGAAGGCAGATCGATTTGAAGGAGACCGGGTGGCTCGCCGGGAAGAAAGATCCGGAGGAAGACATGAGAGGTATAATAATTATTGAACTGTTTATTGTCAGATACATCAGCTGGTAATATCGGCCAATCATTGTATCAGTCAGTCAGTCACGTGCCATCATCACAATAAAGGTTGGCTCTAACTGATGGCCTCTCATCTTGGTTGTACATGATCTCAGACTTCCATTTTAGCATCTGATCCTTCTTATTTGTTAGTCGAAGTTCCAGCATCACTTCTGATGGGTCACCCCGTAACTGCTCTAATCTTGTGCCATTCGAAATCACACAAAATTTCATCTGCTGTCCCATTTTCAAAACTAGTCATAAGCTTGTCAGTCATGTTACAATTTTGAAGTTTGCACATGTAAAGTGAAAATTCATAAGGCAGCTGTCAGATTTGCCAACTCTAACTGTCCCGCACCAGAGTTGTGGTTAACTGTTGGCACAAATGGTCAGTCACAAAAGCTGGCATTCTGAACCTAATTGGCCACCCATCAATTTAATGCAGTCACCAAGACATCATGGGGCAACAGTTTAAAAAAATCTATGTGAAATCCACACACAGCTTAGTGTCGCGCTGAATCCTAGCAAACAACAAATAACTTTTCACACCAACAGCCACGTCTCTGCCATTATTGCTGTCTTCCATTGCTCATCTTCATTCAGCTTTTCATACGAGTGTTGATTTTAATTTGATTCTTGAGTGCCTATGTTGATGTGGTTTCTGATAAAAATGTACAGTTGGCATTATTTAAGTACATAGAATCAACATTTCCTTCAAAATATAAGTAGATTTACCTGAGAGGCGGGTATCCAGCAGTCTGCACATAGATAAGTCAGATCTGAGAAATGAATGTGAATGCAAAACTCAAGTCCTGGAAAATTATAAAACAGCCAGGACTTTCTGCAAACAAATTAACTGCCGGTAAACCGGTTGTGAAAATGAAAGGCAGAAATTGATACATCTCCATCTGCGATTGATTTCAGGTTTCAAGAGCAACCCGTGCGAAGGGAGCGTGAGGCACCAGTGAGAGGTTACACAGGCAGGGTTGAGGAACACAGATCAGGTTTTAGGGAAGAAAGACCACGAAGAGATGCCAGAGCACCTCGTGACTCAGCCCGTGCGTCCAATAGAAGTGATTCTCGCAGTGAATGGAAATCAGAAAGAGGTAATTCTCTTGTTAACTACAGATAGGTGAAGTAAAGCATCACATTTAAAAACCATGAGATGTCTATGAAAATCCATAAAGGAAAGGCAAAGAAAATGAGAATAAATCAGGCAAATGGTAGTGTGGTTTCTCTTAATAGTTTGCATTGGAACCCACAGGGGCATAGGAATAAAGGAAGGCCAAGAAAATACATAGAGAAGAAAGCTGGAGAATGAAGCTAGAAAGATGGGCAGGACATTGGGAGAGCTCCATGTAATAGCGAAGGATAGAACGACTTGGCGTGAGTTGGGGAATAGAAAGGCAGAAGAAGAAGAAGATGTATATGATGGCCCCATATTTCTAGAGCCGTCTGTCCTTTTAAGGCGTCATTTAAAAAAAAAATCCTAGCCTTAATAAACAACACACACCCGTCCTCACGTGGGACACATTTTTTGGCTATTACAGCCCCACTCCAGCCACTGGGCTTCAGGTTGCTTTGTAACCGCCAGGGGCCCAGCCTCGCGGTGAAGCTTTGAGACTTGACGTGGGGGCATTGTACTTTGTCAAAGGGTGTTAAGTGTGTTATGTCAATTAGGTTCACTTTCCCTCAGTGACTGCTTAGCTTTCACAGGCCGTAAACTCTGGCTAAAAGTCCTGGTTGTCGATACGCTCCTGGACTTTATTCTTATCCAAGAACTTGAGTATTGCATGCACATCCATTTTGCAAATATGGCTGTTTGTGTGCAGCCTGTTGGTTAACTGCCTCTCCAGCTAACGCACTCCGACTTTGAAGGAAATGTTTCTAATTAAGTTTCTTTTTACGACGTGCTTGTTAGGGGTGTATCAGCGTCTGTCTGTGGCTTAGGCGTTGCAAATGAGCTTTGTAATACAGGAGTGCCAGGTTCGGTCCCAGCTGCGGATGATTTATCTTGCGTTGGATTCAACAGTAGTACCGAGAGCTGACTGTTCAAAAATCAGTGGCAAACTACAGAGCATAAATTTCCCTAGAAAAACCACAACAGCTAAAAAATGCTGGGGTTGGTTCTGCAACCTCCTATATAGGATACACCGCTAACTTTCATGAAGGGGGCAGTAGTTCTGTTCTTTTTTCCCCTCCCAAACTGGGGTCCCAGAACCCACACAGGGACTCCATGTGGTCCCTATAATGCCTTAAATTAACCTTCATTATTATCACTCTGTTTAATCCCTTTGACATCATGAATGGAATCTAGTCAGCACCTTTGGCATTTCTGAACAACGTTCATCTTAAGAGCTTCTCTTGGCTTCTCACATTTCAAAAATATGGTTTTTTTCTTGCCTGCCACCTTCATTTCCAGAAAAATATACTGGCGCCCATTTCGGGCAGATAACTGTGGTAGCACTGTTGCTTGCTTGCCATCTGTTATGGTCACATAGATGTGTAGGCACAAAAAAGAATCACTGCTGTTATCTAGGCTCGTCAGGGTCAGGCCAATGCAGAGTACTGGTTTAGCAGCTTTTACAGGAATTTGTCGCAGACAGTGATGCCAGATTAGCAGTGTTTTGAGGCTGAAATGTAGAATCTTTGGCCATAGAAAAGGAGAGTAATTTCATGTGTATTTATTTTCTGCTCACAGAAGTCGTACGGACATCTGGCGGAGGTAGCTGGAGTACTCCAGTCGACAGCAGCTGGAGTACAGAAGATATGGGACAAGGTGAAGGCTGGCGCTCTGGGGTGGTGATGGCGCAGCCTAACAGTGGCTTTGCAATGCAACCGGGGACAATGATGACAGGGGCCATGGGAACTCAGACCGTGTTCATAGCCCAGCCAGCCATGCAGGGAACACCTATAGTCATGCAGGGCAACATGGGACGACAGAGTGACTCCAGATATGGCGTAGCAAACAGCATGCGGAGATTTTAATGCTTTTATTGTCTACTGTTTTAACATTGATGCATTTCTGCACTTGCCTTTTTTTCGACTGCCAGATGTTGAAATAAAACAAAATTCTTCAGTTACGTTCTGGTTTAGTTTGTTATGTGTAAAGTCACTTGTAGTGTTATTTCACATTTAGGTCAGTGCCGTCTCCTGCTTCCTTCCTCTTTTTTTCTCCATCGATCTCCATATATTATTGTCAGTCACAGTTAACTTGAAGACACTTGATTATCCAGTCATGCTGCCTCGACTGGACCTGCATATGTACAGTAAATTTAAAAGTTTTTCAGCAGATTGGTATGTACTCTGAAGTCATTTTAGATGGGGTACTTCTAAAAGTGTGCCCTATATTATTAATATGTTTGTGGCTTAGGCGTTGCGTAGCCCCTTCATAATGCATGGGTTCCAGGTTTGATCCCAGCTGCGGACGATTTGTCTTGCATTGGTTTTGACAGTAGGACCAAGAACTGACTGTTCAAAAAGCGGTAGGAACCTACTGAAAGTAAAATTTGCCTAGAAAAATCATCATCAATTTTCTTTATGCTTAGTGGCACATGAGGCTTCAAAGAGGACTTTCTTATCCTGTGCAATCTTCAGTGCAGTTTTCAATGTCAGGGATGCCGCAGTCAGTCACTCTCCATGTTGAGAGAAACCCATAACAGCCACACACAAAGATACTAGGTTTGGTTCTGCAACATAAGGGTCCACAAATAACTTTTGTTATTTTTATATTTTTATTATTCAGTTGTATATCCTCATTGCGTCTTCGTATATTTGTGGCATTAAAAAATGTCTAAGAGTTTGGCTTTGCTTCATTTGTTGTTATCCAGCTTAAAGTGTATTTGGTTGTTTTTATGGTTTTCCACAGTTAACTGTTGCAGAGCATCATGTTAAATTCTTTCAAGATGTCCTCTTAATTGTTGCAGAGCATCATGTTAAATTCTTTCAAGATGTCCCCTTAATTGTTGCAGAGCATAGTGTTAAATTCTTTCAAGATGTCCCCTTATTACAGAGCATCGTGTTAAATTCTTTCAAGATGTCCTCTTAATTGTTGCAGAGCATAGTGTTAAATTCTTTCAAGATGTCCCCTTAACTGTTGCAGAGCATAGTGTTAAATTCTTTCAAGATGTCCCCTTAATTGTTGCAGAGCATCATGTTAAATTCTTTCAAGATGTCCTCTTAATTGTTGCAGAGCATTGTGTTAAATTCTTTCAAGATGTCCCCTTAACTGTTGCAGAGCATTGTGTTAAATTCTTTCAAGATGTCCTCTTAATTGTTGCAGAGCTTCGTGTTAAATTCTTTCAAGATGTCCTCTTAATTGTTGCAGAGCATTGTGTTAAATTCTTTTAAGATGTCCCCTTAACTGTTGCAAAGCATCGTGTTAAATTCTTTAGAAATGTTCCCTCAACTGTTGCAGAACATTTTAAATTCTTTTGAGATACCGTATAGGCATTCTGAAGAATTTCAAATCATGACAAATAACACCTTTTTTTTTATGCCTGTGGTGAATCAGATATGATGTTAGACTCGTACTTTTGTTGGCATTCAACATAATGTGGTTACTTCTCATGACGTGGGGGCAAGCAATCTACACAGGATTACAGGACAAATTGTAGGGCACCTATGGATAATCTTAATTATTGTAATGTTAAATGGATCAGACTCGATGTGCAGTTCGCACCCTCATGGCTATACCATACTAGGCAACTCGGCAAATGATCTGTATCCATTTCATTATGAAGCCGTGTTAGTCCTTAAAAACTCCGGCTGCTTTTCTGACTGACTGGAGAACATTCTTCTGTGAAGGATTTAGCTGTTTCCTGTATACAGCTTATAACTTTCAACAAATTCTTCATCCAGAAAATGGTTATGTGCAAGTTCAGAATTCTTTGCCGGTAACATAGGATGTCTGTAAATGTTACATTAGTTGAAAAGTACACCAATATGTAAATGGGAAGAACTGGTGTTATCAGTCTCCACATGCTGACGGATATATACTGAAGATTGGATCCGAGCACTTAGGAACACATCTGATGTGCAATGAGGATAATCTGTCGATTAACTAACTAATTAGTAAATGGGATGTGTGTGCATCACCTATGGTAGGTAGTGCATCATGGCTCAGACGGATCAAATCCTATCTACACCGTCACATGAACATACTTAAAATTGAGTTCTGTAGAGAGCCTGGCCAATATAGGTTAAAGTAAGCATATATATATATATATATATAGTAAAAGACCATTTTCCACGCCTTTAGGAGTATAGGGCTATACGTATATTTTGTAGATCAATTGGCACAAGATGTGTGATGTGGTCAGCATCAAGCCAGCTGCCTTTACTTACTGGGACTGCACCTGGTACCTACTCAAGGCTGGGTCAACCTGGGAGCCAAGGTCATTTTTGAAAAAAGTCCAGCTCTGCCAGGAAGCGAACTCACAACCTTCTGATCCACGGCGAGCGTCAAGCTGCTCTGCCACGGCAACTCCCGGCCAATGTAGGTAAACTGAAATTTCCTTTGAAGTCGGAACATTGCCTGAGAGGCAGGGAATCAACAGTCTGTACGTAAGTCAGATCTGGAAAAACATTTGTGCATGCAAATCACTTCCAGAAACAAGATCTTTCTGCCACAGTTCACAGCCAGTGAAAAATTATACTGCATGTAGAGCAGTGTACGAGGGGGGGGGGGGCGTTATGTGTAATTCCACATATCTAGTGTGGGTGACAATATATGTAAATGAAGACACAAACAGTTTAATTATGCAAAGTGTATTCATTTTTGTTCATAGTATTACACCATTGTAGGATAATGAAAATATGTACAACGTAAACAAAAGCTGTAATAAAAACAAATAATATGGTAGCTATTTTGACATGGGATGTGTGTGATGATAAAGCACACTGACAATTAAGTTTACATCTGTCAATCTACAAGTGGACAAAAATGATATACTGAATAGCACAATAACATACAGATGAAGAACTGGAACACAACATCAAGAAGCAAAGCAATCCTATTATAATTTATAAAGCAATCTGTGCTGGAATGCACTACATTTCTATTAGACAACCAATTTAAATCCCTGTGCGGCTTCTGGGGCCCCATTGTAGGGAAAACTAGAATAGACCCACTGACTCACAATAAGCATGTCGTAAGAATCGACTAATTGGGGGCTTCCTTTGAAGTCGGAGTGCATCTGCCTGAGAGGCAAGGAGCCAACAGTCTGCATACAAATAAAAAGAGATCTGTAAAATGGATATGCACACAACATACAGGTTCTGAAACAAGTCTGAAGTCCAGAGGTGGATGAACAACCAGAACTTACAGCCAGTGAATGCAAAGAAGAAGAGATTTAAAAAAAAAAGGAAAATTCAAACTACTACTAAAATGACAATGACAATTTGAAATAACTATGGTGCAGTGACCAGGGAATCCGACAGATGCTCATGAAAAACCATTCTTATGGTTTTCGTACAGGAGTTGCACGGTGGAAGAGACTGGGTCCTTCCTATGCAATGGGTGCAGTGTAGGCAACTTTCAGTTCACAAGTGCAATTTTCATGAAGACTACTGGGGAACATCGCTGGAGCTGCAGTATTTGTGTTTTTGGCGGGAAAAAACATCTTCTAGACCGCAATTCACTGAAGACTGGCATCCATTTTTGTAAAGAGCTACGGCAGGGTTATTCAACCAAGTTTACCCAGGGGCCGAAACTACGGATCACCATGGGCCAGATGCCTAAGCCGCAGCTAAGACAAAATTATTAAGTCATTTAGCTGACAAATAATCCACAGGCCACTTGCTTGGTCTCTGCAGGCCAGATTTGGCTAGTGGGCCGGCCGCTAGTTGAATAGCCTTGCTCTACGGATCAAATCTGCATCCAGGCTGATTTTTTGGGGGTTCTTTTTCAAAACTGACCATGTCTTCCAGGTCGACCCAGCTTAAAACGGATATCAAGAAATATCCTGGGAAATATTTACACACACAAAACAAAAAAGCTGGTAATGCTGACCAAATCACCCACTGCGGACCGATTGGCCTAGTACAAAAATATGAACCTAGCATGGATCATATGCACCAGTGGATTAAAAATGTTTTTTTTTTAAACGCCATTTTTACAAGGCTGGGCCTAACCTAAATCTCCACCACTGCCGGTCCCAAGCCCGGATGATAAAGGAGGATTGGGCATGTGACCAGCTCCCCCACACTGTAAAAGTTCTTTACCTAAAAAAAAATGGTGATTAAACATGGACTCTTGCCTTGGCAGGTAAGCACACTGATCATACTACCACAGTGGCTCCTATAAGTTATTGGACAATAAAATCAAACATCTGATTGCAGACTGCATCAGGGATAATATTGGATCAGTAAGTGGGGAAAACAACTGGCTGTAGCTTATCAAGTTGCTATCAACAGCACTTAACATAAACGAAAAGCCACGCAAAAACCAACCGAAACCCACATAAGTCCGACACAAAAAAGGTGGATGATGTTTATATTATTCTAAAAAAAAAAAAAAAGCCTCAATAATTGCTGAAGCTAACATGCAATCAATTAAAGCCTATGCCATAGGAACAAATTTTGCACTAAGAAAAACAAACACAGCTAGCATAGTATTCTACATGAATATCTCTCAAAGATGCACAGCTTTGCATACAAGTATACAAAGAGACATGGTTGTACAGTGCTTTTGGGGCTTGGGGGTCTGCATTTGGGATGTGTGTGATAAATTCCACTGTCTGACAATCATGTTAACATCTATGTCGATCTACAAGTGGACAAAAATGATTCAATGAACAGCCTAAAAACATCCACCTAAACTGGATACAACATCACTGGATGTGCATCAAGGTGGATTTCTGTCTTTCATGCTGATCCAGTCTCTGAAGTGGGTACTGGAAAATATCCCAGGAAGTCAAAGCATCTGGCTTGAGGACCATAAAATCCCTATCTTTTTCTTCTTAGTGTTCACGAGCTATAAACTGAGG